GGGAAAGAGAGATCGTGAGGGTGCTTTACAGACACCAGGGTTATTAAGCGTACTACAGTAAATCAGCAGTCTCAGTAGAGCTTTCGGAAACGGTTCATCGGTCAGGTTTTACAGCCCCTTTGTTTATAGGGAATCAGATGTAACTGTAAAAGCCACGGTGGAGGCTTTTGCTGAGATTGCATTCTCATAATCTAGTTCTGTTGTTTGCAAAACTCATTAAATGTCATTTTCTATAGAATTACGTAGAAGAAAAGCTTATTCCTACTTGGAACTGGATGGTTAGCATCATGGACTCTACTGAAGCTCAGCTGCGGTATGGTTCTGCATTAGCATCTGCTGGTGATCCCGGGCATCCGAATCATCCTCTCCATGCCTCTCAGAACTCAGCCAGGAGGGAGAGGATGACAGCCCGTGAGGAAGCAAGCTTAAGAACACTTGAGGGGAGAAGGTATGAGACTAGTTTGATTACTGCGTGTGATATGAATTACTGGTTTTACAGTCAAATCTTTTTATTCACTGACACTTAAGGAATCTGATTTTTTAATGCAGTAATGTATTTACTGTTTTGATTTAAGTTGGCTTCCTGTGCTGTTGCTACTATTTGTTTTTTTTCTCACATACTAGATTCATCTTGAGTATTAACTATTCATAATATACTGCACTTGAACTGCTTATAGTAAACATAAAACTATGATTCTTACTATCACTATTTTTTATGAGGGGTTTTTTGAGTTTTTACATCCGTATTTGAAACAGAGACAACTATGTTCAGGATGTATTCTGCTATGATGCCTAATCTCTGTATTCAATCCTTTTCTTTCACTAGGCGCGCCACTTTGCTCAGTGCCCGTCAGGGAATGATGTCGGCCCGTGGTGATTTCCTGAACTACGCGCTGTCTTTGATGCGTTCGCACAATGATGAGCACTCAGATGTTCTTCCTGTTCTGGATGTCTGTTCACTAAAGCACGTAGCATATGTTTTTCAAGCCCTTATTTATTGGATTAAAGCAATGAATCAACAGACAACGTTGGATACTCCTCAGCTGGAACGGAAAAGGTATCAAGGCTGACTCATAGAAATAAAAACTTCTGCAGAAGTGGTGTATGCCCTTTTGTTTCAATCATTTGCCTTGTTACTCAGCAACCTATATAAATATATACATGTATCGATGTATCTGTGTGTGTAGTAACATGGATATTATAAAAAGAATGTATGTGATGATATATAATTTATGTATGTTTGATTGATAAGCCATTGCAGTATCCTGTTCAAATCTTTTTATGGTGATTGCTGTAAAAGGCTTTCTTACCACTGAAACTTGAGTTTGATTTTTTTTTTTTTTTATGTCCATGACAGTGGCTCTAAAAGATTACTCAGGACAATTTCTCATCTGAAAAATGCAATCTGCTTGTCACATTTAACGTGATAACAACTTATTTAGAATTCTGTCAAACAAGTTAAGGATGACATGGGTGAAAATGTTCAAGTATGGCATGATGGTCATAGTAGTTTTGTTTTCCATTTGGTTGTGGATATTTGAGAATTACCTGATGATTTAAAGCACAGTAGGGAAATCAGTAGATGAAAACGTCCTTAAGTTGAAAATCCCTGCTACTTCAATTATAGCATTTTCCAAGGTGCATTTATTACTTTTTATAAAAGTTGCAAGGTTTTTTTAAGAGACGGTCTTTGATTTGAAATGGCAATTAATGATTATAGAAATGTCCACACGTTGGTAGTCTACACCATCTGTTCCCATTTCTTACTAAGTTTTGAGGAAATATACCAGAACAGTCCTAGTCAACAGCTAAATAAGTGCAAGTGTTTGCCCCTTCCTGCCCCTGGTTTTCAAAGTTAATGTCAAACTTAACTTTTCCTTTTCTCTACAAATTTATTAACGGTAAAATAAGAGCTGTTGATATTTTAGACGTATACTGAACTACTGCTTTAGTTCCAATGTTATGTTCAATACATCCTGGTAATGTAAGGCTTGTTACGGTCTCAAAATGTGTACTAGAGGATGTTGCTGTCATCAGTAGTTTCCTCACAAGTAGGGATGATTTAATACAGTAACTGATCAAGTTTTTGTGCTAGCTGACTTGAGTAGTTAGAACTATGGCTTTAAGCCTTTTCCAGGCAATAACATACCACTGGAACCTGCTTTGTCTGCAAAGACTCACGTATTGATATCTGTCAAATATCTGTTCATCAAAGAATTCCAAAATTCCCATTTAATGCTTATAAAACTTTTCAGCTAAAGGTGAGTGGTTCAAATGCAGTCGGTTGCTTCTGTTAGAGGACATTTTAGTAGCCTGTATGAAATGAAATTTTATTGTCTTCATCTAGTTTCAGAACACATTTCACAATGCACAAACTGCCAGAAATTAATACTAATTGAAGTTCTTGATCCTTTTTATAATAGAATGAAATCCATTTCCTTAATATGCAGCTTGCAGACTTACCTTCTGAAATGTGATCAGTGACATTATTTTTATAGGACTAAGCATATTCTACACCAGTAAATTTTAGAGTAATATTCACTTACGTATTTCTTCCACTGATGCAAGTGTCCTAGGTTTCTTTATACTGACATAGTCTTCAAAAACAAGCATATTCCTCACTGTCTGAAGCTGTAACTTTTTAGATCAAACTTTTTAGATCATTTGGTAGGTGGCCAAATGGCTACTAGGATAACTATGCAAGTAATGTAGTGAGTGCGTAATGAGAAGTACTCTACAGTACTTGGATTTAGAGTGAGTTAGTTCTTGGTATGTATAGCTGTCAAGTACACTTAACTGACTATACTCTTGCTTTTGTTGATTGCTAGAGGTGTAAATGTTTTGCCTAATGTTTTCTTCAAGAGGATTGACTCTTCTTTTTTTCCTTCTTTTTTTTTTTTTTTTCTTCCTTCCTAAGAACTCGGGAACTTTTGGAACTGGGTCTTGACAATGAAGATTCAGAACATGAAAATGATGATGACACCAATCAAAGTTAGTATACAGAAACAATTCTATGATATGCCAAAATGCAACACTAAGAAAGTGTTTTTTCTCATTTAGTGAGCTGAGACTTCAAGTAAATTTTGCTACTTGTATATGTTACATTGAAGCAATGAAAAAATGTCATTTTAAAGTTGAGTTTTAGTAAGATTTTCCTACCCTTCTTACTTCACCAAATTTCTTCTGCCATTGCCTGTCCTAATTTCAAGGCCCACTTTTTTTCTTCCTTCTCTCTAAACTGTAGAATTTGTGCCCTTACTTGTCATTATACAGAATGGCAGAATTTAAAATTTGAATCAGAGTTAAACTGATCTTTTTGACTGAAACTGCTGTTGAAAATAGCAGAATGTATACTAAGTGCATATAATGTAGGAGTCCACGTTCAGTGAAGGTAGTTATACTAAAAAGAATAACAGTAATCACAGAATCACAGAACGTTAGGG